CTTCCCGTAATATAAAAACCGTGAATGACATTCGAGCCAAAAACGAAGGAACTGACGACAAATGGACAGTGTATTTCCGATTGAACATTTTTCAACATTCTATTTTCAGTAAGCATAAGCTTTAATAAAAAATACTCATACATTTTACCAATTTTCAACGCAAAATATTGGCTTTTTCACAATGTTAAATATAGTAATATTATTAAAAATGAAAAAAATCCTTCCTTCCTTTTAAATCACTCCGCAGTCTTTCGAAAATCCATTCGGTAGTTTTTCAAAGACTTTAATCTCGTAGAAACTAGTTATAACGTGAGGTGTGCTAGTCTCGAGAACGATGAACAATAAAAGTGTAGTTAAAGTGGACAGCAGATAAAAGAACCTTGCAAGATCTAGCGTTAAAGAGTGTACAAAGGAAGGCGTTAAGTGGAGATTTAGTGGGACGAGCGAGGCCGCACGGCGGAAACCTCACGTGAGGTGTCCCTGTACACTGCACTAGGATTTATTACTCTGACTGTTTGTTACCAAGGGTATTCGTATTGTTATGCAATAAAAGTAAAAAATATTACTCAGCATAATATTATCATCAGGAGGACAACATAATAAATAATTAGTAATAAACTCTACATTCGTCGTAGACAATAATCTGTATTATCTATGGTACAAATGAGAAATTTTCTTTTAATAATAAAAATATATATATATATGAACCTGGACATATAGATATCTCTCTCCTACCTCTAACATCTGAGATTTTATTATAGGTTTTTACCCTTTATTTTCTATTGTATTCTACAATAGTAGGAATGAAAAATGAAACAAAACTTGCAAAGGAAGCATGCAATCGTGATGGAATTTCAATTCGAACAATGTTCGACTGTATTGTTATGAGAGAATATTTGCAGAATATTTTCGATAGAACAGTAACTGCAGGTGGTTGGTACGCGTTGCTATGCGGCTCGGCGTAGCGCGCGCATAGCATACGAATCCCAATAACTATGGAGCGTTACCTTTTCGGTAATGTTACGAGGCACTACCATGTCCGGTTCACATTTCAAAACATATCACAACTATTTAGACTTAACTGTTACTCATAGATTATAATCACAGTATATTGCATCTGCAGTACATCCATAACAGATAACTGCTTACCTAATAATCTTCATAAAAAAATTGCTTTACATTATGAACAGATATTTTTTATGAGTGATTGTAGCTATGGCAAAAATGCTACTTACATAAAAAAAATGTTTGTCTATGAGGGTCTCATTTATTTGTATGTATTATGCAATATTAGTTAAACTAACTGATAGGAAAACAATTTTGTTGCTGCATTTCGGTATACAGAACTTACAAATAATACAGTCTTTTGTAGATTTTAATTACCAATATAACTTGACCTCAGATACATGATTACAAGTTTTTCAAACAGCTATTAAATGTATTTTAAAATACTTACCATTTCTAGATACGTCAAGTTCAACTAGGTTTTCAAAATTCTGTATGTCAGATGGCAGTTTGTGAATTTCATTATCGCTAAGGCCTAATCTTCTTAATCTATGTAGTCTGAAGAAGTTCTGCAACAATTACAATTATTTCTATTAATTCTACATTATGTGTGAAACATAATACTACTAAGTATTGAGGTTATAAAGTAGTTATGAATTTTATTGCAAAAATAAAAAAAATGCTACACTTTTTAGAGAATGGTAATTAGTCATTGTAGAATATTGACACTGCCTACCCAAAACATTTATATCTTTACAACTGTTTTTATGATTTTTATTAAGAAGGCAATAATAACAGTTACATTAATTTTCTAAAAACTAAACGAATGAAGAGAACTAAACATATAACCACATAATTTGTACTTATATGGTCATCTCATAACAAATTATAACTTTGGGAAAAGTTTTTTCTTAGCATTTTCTGTATATCATCATTACAACATTAGTGTTTGTTTACCAGTATAAACAATCATTTCATGTTATATAAATTGAATCAATCAATCAAGCCAAGATATCAATGAAATCGAAATAACAATATGAACTGTTATATGAAACGAAAATAAATTATATACAACGTAGTAATATTTACACCTCGTAATGATAAGGTGAACGCCCACGATGGTAAGTGATATTAATTGAGGTCGACCAATAACATACCTTAGGCAAATCTCTTATATGATTGGCATCCAAAAAAAGTTCCTCCAAACTTCTGGAGTATCTAAGGATGTCTTCAGGTACTGTTGGCAACGAGCAATGCCGCTTGTCTACACATTCCACTTGCCGATTGCATTTGAACAAAGGTATACATCGAAACATGTTGGACACTACACTTCAATCAAACTATAAAGAGATAATTCACCACCACGACACATATTTGTGCGCCTTTTGAAATTAACACTATCTCAGCATTTTAAATATTAAAACGACAACAAAATATTTCAAAATGACCAAGAGACACCTCACTCTCGAAAATGAAGCCACAAACTGCCAGTGTTGCCGTATAGTAACCTACGAGATAGAAACTTTTTAACTTTTACTAAGAACCTCTTTTCCTTATTTACTCTTAAGTGCTTTTCTTAATGTAAGTACTAATATCAAGTTCTAACCACAATTTAACGATGAAAATTAATTAATCATGTGAGTAATGTACATAACTTCTCCTGATTATCTTCAAAGAACATATTTTGAGATCAAAGTGTAAATAACTGAAATTGAAAGAAACTTTAAATAATAGCAACACTTAAACACAAGTCTATGGTTGTGTTGTTCTTTGATTTTGACGGAACGTCATAATTTTGTCAAAAATCATAAGCGCAAAACACAAAACTTAGTATCTCAAAGTCAAAGAAATTAACACTTCTTTACTATCGAACTTGCTAAATAAATTAGTTCATATATAAATACGACACGAAGAACATTAACTAACTTATGGAAACGGAGCTTGTTAAACAAAACATGTATAATATTGGTTTTATTGGTGGTGGAAATATGTCCACTGCAATTGCTAAAGGAATTTTGAGAAATGGTAAGTTGTTTATAAGAATTACAGTATTTCAGTTTGTTGTTTGATATTTCGAAAAACTTGACCAGCTAAATGGTTCGTGAGGAGGATAAAAAATATGTTGGGGGTAATGTGGTTTATTTTATTTCAGAGTCGTACTCAGCATCTCAAATCTGGGTATCTGGTCCTCATATAGATCACTTAAAGCACTGGGAAGAAATGGGTGCTAATGTAACAGATAAAAATGGAGAAGTATTAAGTAAATGTGATGTTGTATTTCTTGGTGTTAAGCCTGGTGTATTGAGTTATGCTGTTGGTGATTGTCTTAAATCCTTGCCTACTGATGGTCCTCGTAAAGACTTCTTTTTCGTTTCAATGTTGGCTGGTGTCACTATTGAAAATCTACATAAGGTTTGTTTTTAATGTATGTTTTGTGTTTCCGATAGCCTCACCAAATGTTATTAATCAAATGTCATATGTCCTATGTCTTATTAACAAATAATAATTGTAACACTGCTTGTTCTTCTTCTTTTTGTGTCAATGAAAGGTAAGGTAGATAGCATACAATTAATGCTTCAATATTATTTTCTTTATATTTCAGGCTTTTAAGGTGTTTGATTTTCCTACAAGTGTGATTAGGATAATGCCCAATACACCAATGAGTGTGGGCGCCGGGATTTGTCTATATACACCAGACAATATAGTCAAACCAGAGCAATGTATGCTGTTAGAGAAAATTCTTTCCAGTTGTGGAATTTGTGAGAAAGTTGCTGAACCACTAATGAATTCTGGAGGTGTCCTGCCTGCGTGTGGACCAGCTTTTGTAAGTTTTTTATCATTTAAAAAAGCAAATAAATAAAATAAAATTCTTTTGTGTCTCATTCATATTCAATCAGTCACTATGTATAGAGAGACCGGCTAATCTATTTTTTACATGTTATATCTATAGAATAGAAAATATTAAGCGATGAAACAAACATGTAATTTAAATGTCCTTGAATATAGTAGTAGGTATTTAGTTGCATAGAAAATAAACAAACAAGACTACTTTATTATAATGTCACAAACATGTTAAAAAGATTATTACTAAGAGTAGACTACAGAATAGATTAACATAAATCAAAGGTAAAAAGATAAAAAAGTAATCACTTATGATTTCAGATGTATATTGTAATAGAAGCTTTAGCAGATGGAGCAGTAAAACAGGGTGTTCCAAGAGCAATGGCGATGCATTGGGCTGCACAAGTGCTAGTGGGCAGTGGAGAAATGGTGCTGCAGTCCAAAAAACACCCTGGACTATTGAAGGATGAAGTCTGTTCACCAGGAGGATCGACTATATGTGGTGTAACTGCCCTGGAGAATGGAAGATTGAGGTTTGTGTAGTTATTCACTTTTTAGTCTACACTGAGTAGCAGAACTCTACACAAAAACAAGGGTATTTTTTATATTGGTTGAGATATTATTACATAAATCTGACCATCCATATTTAAGTTTACTTATTACTAGCTTTTCCAGATACTTTATTGGCGCGGAATTAAAAAAAAAACATAGTATGTAACTTATCTGTTCATTCAGACTATGTTCTACATTTGTGCTGAATTTCATCAAAATCCTTTAAGCGATTCTGGTTGTACCTTTTAACAAGCATCAATCTTTCTATACATCTGAACATTCGAATTTATTATATTAGTGAGATTAGGAAGAATAGCTTTAAGTTCGTAAATATATTACAAAGTGTTTTTTTATAGTTTTTATGTCTGATTATTTTTTCAGAGCCACCTTAATCAATGCGATAGAAGCAGCAACATTGAGAACTTATGAAATGGGGAAGAAATAAATAAGTTAAAAAATTACGGGTAATAACAATAGGCGAATTGCTGGTAATCTTGCATATTTAATATTTAGAGCACATTTTATAATTGATATAATTTATTAACATCCAAAACCTAAAATGTATACTCATAGTCAAATAGTGTGTTGTTTTAATTATTTATTCGTAGATCAGTATTTAGATAATATATAAGCAAACTCTTTGAAGATCTAGTATATTTTATATTATAAAATTCAACCTTTGCTATAAGCAAGCACATGCTTTTAGTACATGCAAATGTGGCCTATCCTTTTTTTTTAAATAAGTCAGGGTTATGTGAGTTTTTTACTCACTAAAACCCCTTCTGTAGCCGCCCTCACATGCAATTTGAGGATCCCGGGATCTTCAATGGAAGCCACCGTTACACAAACATATGTGGTCTACCTACATACCTTTACATCCTGTTTACACAAATATTTATCTGTGAAGCATCTCATGGAATGTTTTAACCACAATAAAGTTTAACAATGCTATACTAGAAAGAAAGAAATCAATTTATTCAGAAAAAAGAAAGGGATTCATTCGGCATGTGCATGGTATACACCGAAGCGCCGGGTTTCTATGATTCCTAAAGACAGAACATGCAGTTTTACAGAATAGTAGAAGAAGATACTATGCCTTATACTCGCATAAAACTGGAGTTTTGACACCTTTATACAAAGATGTATTGGTAAATTTAGTGAATCCTTTCTTACAGTTACCTATATTTTTAATTTGTACTCATTATACTACTCTATGGTAGGTACAGTTGTGTATAGTGTAGTGCTTTAAAGTAAATGCTGCCCACCAATTATATTTTAATAGTTATGTTATGAACATATAGTAATATTTATATAGATATATCAGTATGCAAAACAATTATAAGATCGGTAGAAAATGGTAGTGTTTAACCATATTTCCCTGCAACAAATACTATGTTTTTATTTTCATTCAAATGTAAATACTATGACATAGTATTTATGTCAATTTCAGTATTAATTTGACATTAATATTTTTTTTTATTATTACTTTTATAATGTCATAAAATAGATGTGCGCATGATTCAGTAGTTATGTTATTTATGTAAGGCATTTTTATCACCTAGCTAATGTATTATCTGTCAATGTACAAAGCAATTAATCCGTAAAATGTAATTAACCAATGGAAATAGAAAATGTTATCAACATTTCCTTTAACATTTATTTAGTGGATGTTTTAATTATTTTTGTGTTGAATTTTACTTATGTGTTATTTATTTGTATAAAGTGTCATTGTTCATTTGTAAGCTGCATGTTTCTTATTTTAGTATATGTTATTACTATTTATTATTTATTTTATATGACAGTATTTAATCTTACAGAAATTTTATATTTATTACTGTAAAGGAAAAATGCATAAAACAATGTTATAATTTTTTTATTTGGTAAAACACAAAAAATAAGATCAGTTTTTTGCAACACACGTCGTCTCATAAATGTTATTTACCCACCATACTTGTAATATTATTTATAATGTAACCGTAGGTTCCTATTGCCAATAAACAGGTTTTTCTTCCTTGTTCCTTTTCTTTGAAACGATAGAGATAACACTGCCTTTGTACTGATGTTTTGGAAATGGAAACTTACGTTTAGAAACAGTTGTAATAAAGCCAAGCTGTAGCTATAACTGGAAATTGTAGCTTGCTTGTCTTAAACGGAAAATAAATAAATACATTACATAGCTTATTTTATTTTAAATTTTTAAATATTTTAGACTTATACATAGTTTTGAGATTTTATCATATAATTTCAATATCGTATTTAGATACTGGTTTTATAAGCAATATGTTAGAGTAATTAAAAACCATTTTCAATAATAATTTCTGCTTTCTAACTACACTATTGGTACTTTTTCGTTGGATGTTGGAGAATTCAAACAGTGCTGTAACTTGTATGTGAAATCTCTTTGTATTCCCTTCCAATACTTATAGAAGAAACAATAACTATTGCAGTTTGTTAAATACTTCCCATACCTCACAATTTGTTTATTCAATGTCATATTCTAGGTTAATTTCTTTCTCGTATAGTGTATCGCTAGTACGATCCAGTTTCTTCTAGTTACTAGAAACTATTCGTATACAAATACTATATTTTATCTGTCGTCAAAGTTAATGTAAATTTTTCTCGTGGTCTGTGCCGGCGTGTATGGATGGTATGGATGTACGCAAACAGATCTTCTAGTGAATATAAAGAGAGATATTCTTCTAGCAAACCCAACCCCTATGTCGATACTTCTATGTCTTGGCACTTCCATCATCGCTATTTCCTCGTCCTCGGATCCCCTAAGACAGCTAATCTTTCGCAAACGATTACGTACTTTACCAAACTTCCAAATCGGTCGAATACTTTTAAGACGTCGCAGCAGTGATTTTTTATCATTTATTTTTATTTTATTATCGTGTGTCACACTTTCTTCCTCCTTAGTCACGAGTTCTGTATATTTTTTCGATGTTCCTGCCAGTGTTATCAATGGTATATCTTCTTCACTCATTACTATGTTTTTGTTTTTCACATTTTCGAAGCGTACGTTCTATGTCGGTGTAGTAGAGCGGACTAAAATTCCGCCAACTAACTTGGCATTGATTGAGCGTGACGTCCAAGATAAGATATTGAGATTACTCTGATTATGGTCATGATTTGTTGCGATCGTAACTTTATTGAGTGCGAAGCATAGATTTAAATCCTATTTTAGTAACGTAATACCGAATGCCATAGCCAAAATAAATACATGCGCTTGACTAACTAAATATTTCTATGCATTTCTGCATGGGATTTTACTTCTTCGTGTATAACATTGTACATGACTGCTGATGTTTTTTTGTTTATCGTTCCATACACTTATTAAACTAGTAGTTGTAACACATAGGCACATCAAATTTATACAGTCAATCGACGCAATAGGAAATAAAATTCCCATAGGACCGTCTGATCAGCCCAACAGGAAACACCCCACTAATTATTTTTTCTTTTTCATGGCAAGAAATATTACGTAATCATATCCTTTCCTTTATTTTATCTGGTATGTGTCATGCCGTGGCAAAATCTGTATTAAATAGTTAAGGGAATTAACACTTGCATGTTTTTATATTAAAATCCAACTGTTTTATCTTATAGTTAAACACAAATATTCTGTTGTTTTTTTTATATTTGCATAAACTGTGGGAAAAAGTATATATTTATGGGTAAAGATAACCTTGAATTATTCTGCCTGTCTCAAGCGTGCGGCAAAAAAATTGTATTGCAACCTCGTGCGCAGTCACCGTGAGGCGTTTGTTGTATTACACTTCCTACAATGCAAACCAAAGACGTACTTTCTTAACATTTGTTAATGTTAAATACGATTATATATAGATATATAGAAATATAGATATATAGATATTTGCAATAATTTATGAACTAAGTATGTTATATGTATTGTATGGTGCTAGGAATGTCTTTTAAAAGAGATGCGACATGGTTCTTGTAATTCCGACTTTTTTTTTATTATTATTGTCTTGTACAGCTTCAAGTAATCGGTACGGATAGCTTATACCAGTTTTATCTGTAATTCGAAAATTACCAAAAGATTTTTCCGAGAACAGTCAATTGAAGAGTAACAGATTTTGTAATTAAATGTCATTTAAAATCGCATCTGATGCAATTAGTGTTTCATCGAATCTTAACTGTAGGTAGTCTCGGCAAGGACGTAGTTCGGACTCATTTCACGCTACAATGGCCGACCGTGACTCACGTTCGACGTTTTCCCTTTAGAGTTTTCATGTTTCATATCGCGACGGAGCGGTTAACACGTCTGTAGTGAAGTTAGCCGTTGTTATTGCGCAGGCGCGTAATGTCATAGTTTTCCCGCTGTGACGAATCGCGTAGAACTTGAATCATCGTTGTTTGTGCCCGCCAGTGTTGGGCAACAGGTGGATAAGCTGGTCTACTCTAGTTTTTAGAGTAATTTTATGAAATTCTAGTCAAAAGCGAGGTAAGTTTTTTTTTCGTTCTTTGTCGCTTACTAATTTCATTGTCGTCCACTATTATCTACTAACAGTGTTGTCATGTGATGTCTTAATGTGAGGTAGGTAAGTATTGTTCTATATATTTTTGTATTTCTATTTATTATAACGTTTTTTTTGTAAATTGTAAATGATCTTATAACCTTAGTATAAATGTCTACTTTTATTTTATAAATTTAATAAAAGAATTCTAGTTATTTATAAGCCATATCTCTTATCAACCTACACAATAACTTTTGTAATCCATCGATTTACTTCGGTACGTGAGATAAGGATTGCAAACTATGTTTCCGTCCAATATATAATTTCTTTCCGCCTGTTTTAACTCTTATTGTGTTTGTAATTCACACTAGCGTTATGTGCTTACATGTTATAAAATAAATTATAAAATATTTTATTAATACAATAAGATATACTGATTATTACATTTACTGTAACTAACTTCAACTTGGTAAGTTAACGTCCTCCATCTTCAAGTTATTTTACTGGAATCATTGATACACATGCAAAATAATCGTATTGGTATTATTTAAAACCAGTCATAATTTGACTTTCAAAGCCAATGACCAAAATGAGGAGGTCTCATTACAATGGTGACTGTAAGTAAAATAAAGACACTATCATCGAGATAAAACATCGTCAGCTAATCATAATTTAGTAAGCGTTAAACAATTTAAGTATTTATTACATATTTGTTAAGGTAAAGAATCGTAAAATATGTGACGAAACAATGATAAGTAGTCAGATTGTTGACTGATAGCGTGAGGTATAAGACATTCGTTGTTTTACTTAAAGGAGTAATACAAGTACGATGGGTATCTGCTTTTCGTTCGACTGCGGCGACTGCGACATTTGCTGCAACCCTTGTTGTATGGCGCTGAGCGCTTGCTGCTTGGTGCCCTGTCTGTGTCCCAACGCGTGCGGACAACAGCAGCAACAGCCGCCGCAGACTGTACACGTGCACCATCCACCAGTCATCATCGAGCAACAACCACCACCACCCGGATACCCCTACCCCCCGCCCGGAGGATACCCCGGATATCCCCCACAACAACCCGGTTACCCCGGATACCCTCAGCCACGGTGAATTTTAATTAAGGTAAGTTTCAATTACCTAAAGTGGACGACTAAAACGCTTACGTAGTTTAGTTCTTACATATTAGTTAATTAACTGTTGTAATTTAAATATAAGTAAAATGTATTTAAAGTATGCGTTATCGTAAATAACATTTAAATGTTTTCAACACGCGATCAAGTATTAAGAGAAAAGGTTTTTTTTTTACTTTATAACCTACTTTTAAATTGGCCTCGTTTACAATAATACCAGGGCAAAAGTAAAATAATTGTTGTGTACTGTTTATTTAATTTACTCTATGCAATATTTACCTAAACTAATTCCGACCAACATAGCTTAGTAAAGGTTACTGCAGTCCTGTTAGATTTTCTTCTCACTTGGTAAAAATATGTAATTAAATTTGAGCAGTAACACCATTAATTAACGCTTACTATATGCGTCTATAACAACTAGTGACAACTTTTGTTTGTACATGTGACGTCGAGTGCGCGTGATTGTTTGTCATTGGTGTATTCCGGTGCCTCAGGAGACAAGATTTGGGCAATAGACAAAACATATTTTACTCCGGATATCCGTTGTCGAAGGACATGTCACGATAAGAAAATGATTTTGTATTCAACATAGTCTACCTCGGGTTTTGTAATGTAATGCTTTTTGTTATCCAAGTAGAGATCAAGATCAACCATACTGGTATTATGGAGTAAAATTTGTGTTGCATATTTTAAGGGCCGGAATTTCGAAACATAATTGGAAATCTGTATGATCAGGTATAGATGTTATCATACAGCAATAAACATAATGATAGCTAATTCAAATGAAGATAAAAGATTACGTATTTCCAAGAATAGGTACACTTTGTTTAGTTTAGTGTGTTACATTTATTTATTTTCAACATAATATTTACACATGTCTTATATTTTTAAAATAAAACTCATTCGTATGCTTAACTTATTACTGTTCTACATACATATCCTTTTCACACAAAGATGTTGAGTGCATTTACATCGACACTAATTGTTTAAAACTTTGTATGGCATACTCGCTCGTGGTGTACAACCTTCACACATCTCTTTTGTACACGTTTATTAACTAGACACATATAAAAACTACTATCCTTCTGTGTGTATCTACATTCATCTACATTCATTTTTGTGAATCAATCATGCCTCCTTGTGAGCTTCGGAAAGTAACTAATTAGGGTTCCAGCGATTCGAAAGAAACTAGCCACTTTCTTTGATCCCGCGCTGTCTGACTATACCTGGATTTGAGCTTTCTAAGATAAAAAAAATGCTTGAGAAATACTGATAAATAGCAATTTTAATTAGACGGATCTCCACTATCTAAAACCTTGTACTAATTTTTTTTTCCAAGAAATAATGAGAACATAGTACAGAGGTTTGGTTTTCACAAGTTTATGTTTTTGAGACTTCCTCATACCAAAACTTACCTTCCTCATGACGTATTCAATTGTAAAGAACATAAATTTAAATGATGTCATCTCGTATGCTAATTTTACAACAACGACATTGAAAGTAATAAAAATGTAGAGAAATGTGTTGCACATATGAATCACATTTTACGAGGATTTTCAAACAGCTACTGCAGTTTACCTCAAGGTAATGTTACAAACAGTTATCTGAGAAAGAATTATTTATTATAATTGATTTTTAACTATTGTTCATATTGTTAAATCGATTTAAAAGCATTATATTGAACATGATTTTAATTGCTATAGTATCTCATCAAGTACTTTTTGGCTTAATTAATTTTTATTACCCAGCAACATTTGACACTGGACATGACAGTTTTTCGCGGTAAAAGATAAAGATTTTATCACCTTCATACCGGAAATGATAAAATATTTATATCGATGGATTTATATTATAACCAATTTACATGATGTATTTAAGATTAACTAATTCGGCTATCACGATTTCCGGAAATAGATTTAAGATATCACAGAAAGTCTTTGAACTCTTTACGGATATAATAGTCTATATCATATAGCAACAAGTTTCAAACTCTTCAAAATTTATAAGATTTTATGTATTTTTAATATTGTACAACACATAAATAGATTAATAATAAGATCATAGAATTAAGTCTTTTAATAAATATGATCGATACAGATTTTCTGGGTAGTGCTCTATCAACAAAAACCAACAATAAAAATCGTAAAAGAAAGAAACGATTATTAGTAAACCATATGCAGCATAGATTTGTCTTGTCACTTTTAACCCGTTCAATGCCGTAATGCTTTTCACAATTTTAATTGAAATTTTCTACATTCCAGGATGGGTTGCAACATTTCAGTGCGGCCCTGTTGTTGCTGCTGTATCCCGTGTTTGTGCTGCGACTGTGCCCCGCCCCGCACCGTCGTACACCACGTGGTGCAAGCGCCACAACCTGCCATCATCGTCAACCAACCACCTCCACCATACAGATAGACCTACGATCCAAATGGCGTGTACAATCTGATCAAAAAATGGGATAAATAACGGCTTAGTATCGGTTTCTTCTTCGTTGCTACTGCTATCGATTCAAAAACATATTGTTGTTAGTTTTTCAAATAGAATGACAGTGGAACTATGAGCAGAGCTAGGCCAAAGAACAACCAAAGAATACTTGCACCAGTGCTAAACATTGCTAATAAAGATAATGAAAACTTTTAAGAGTATATTTAATATGAACTGCAACTACAATTTCAATATAATATGATCTTATCTCTGTCTTTTCATACAGATTAAGAAAGACGGAAATAAAAGTATATGTACAAAAATATACAATCTTAAAATTGAAGCTCACGATTAATTAAAATTTAATTATTTATCTTTTTTGTTATTAAGTAAATCTATAATTTCTCGCAAGTTTTGTATCAAGTATTTATGATCCGTAACGAGAAAGATACGCGTAGGCCAAGATTTCCGCTACAAGGCTGAATTCGTCAATCCTTACCGTATTTAGACATATTACTTGATTAAAGGTCTACAAAGCACCGATCATATATGTATATAAGTGTACACGCCATCTGGACATGTTTTTAAACATTTTAAGGAAACTGTTATCCACATAATCAATATCTTAATATATCTATAACATAAGATTAAATTTGTAAATGGTTTATTTAGATATAAGTAAAAAAAATGTTGTTAAGTATTTAAAAAATGCAGTAAAAGAAGATATGCGTTATAAAATCAAAATTGTACTACCATTTTGTATGTATAGAAAACATACTTTACGTAACCTCAATTTTATAATTCATTTTGCTGATTTAATTTGCATTCTTGATAGTCCAGGATTTAACAAAATCGGCTGGGTCTTCATCTTCTCAAAATATAAAATAAACAGAATATAAACGATATATTGTTAATTAACTTGTAAGTACTTTTTAAAGTAGGTGCAAAATATTAAATAATGAATATAACGTCTCTTGAAAACGTACAAAATGCTGCTATACTAGTTATAATAAAAATGTTTAATTTTATTTTATTCATAAGTTATAATTATAATATCAAAGTTAAATAGTTTGGAATAATGTTATTTAAAATACAGTTTTACATTTTATTACTGTTTTATTCGAACTCTAACATGCAGTCGTATGTAATTATTCCCCTGAGCAGTTTTTGCCTCGCCTCATGTATTTTAGGATCTAATTTACATTCTTACAAATAGAATCCAGTTGGACTGACGTCATGTTTAGTTGAGGTGGGTTAGAATATGCATTCAAAACTTTTTGAACACGCGTGCTACCGTGCGTTTCCACTCGCCGAAACATGTGTAGGAAAGAAAACAGTACAACTATTTTCTTTGAGTAGACTCAGATGCATATTATGTTTTCCTGTAGTGGAATACTCAGTTAGCTATCCAAGTACTCTAAAATCATACTCAACATAGAAGATGCTGTAGAAAACAGCTTCTTTCTATTATTTTACTACCTTATTTTTAACACAAAAAACCTAATTCTCTTCCTCAAAGGGCGACAACGAATCTGGTGTTGCGGATATCCTGGCCTGTTGATGAGCATCTCGGTGTTCATGCCGCTCGTTTTGCACAATTTCATTAAAAAACATTCATTGTATGGATTGAAAAACCATTTGGGTTATCTAATTAAAAATGTAATACAATCAATTTCGGGAAACCCAAAAGAGGGCTTTTAAAACTAAATGATATTACATCGATTATACCACACTATACTAGGAAACATTTTGTTATCATAGTTTTTTATCATGTTTACATATAAAACAGCAAAGAAAAAAGGAAGGGGCCCATTAAAGACCGAAATTTAGCAATAGGGAATTCGTTTCAACTAGCAGAATATTACAAAGGAGATATTGAGAAAAAGTATGAGAATCTGTGGCTCTGGAACAAGGCATCTCTAAAAGCCATCTTTTGATGTTCGGCGATCATAATTGCAGCATGCACTCTTGACACCGTGGCTCTGAAAAGCGAACGGGTTCTCTTTCCGAACCACTGGCATAGGTTGGTTTAAGCTTCAAGTCCTATTAATATTGTTATTTTAAAACTTTATCTAAATGAATAGATATTTATGTTTTCTAACAAATTAAATGTGTTAAGTATACAGTGGTACGGCAATTTATCTCTTTATCTTCACTTACTTGATACGAATTCAAAAGAATTGATTGTTCAATCTTATCATATGTGATAATGTGCCAATTCCTGTCCGGAGAGGTGACTCATTTAGTGTAAGTATAAATGTGACACTTTTAAAAGTGATTTATTGGGATAAGCAGGTGTTGGAAAAATACAATCACGGGTAAATATTATGTTTTCGTATTTGATATCTAAAAATTATATAATAACATTGGAATGTGTACCTTTTTATGTTATCTATTGTAGTATGGTTTAACGAATTAAAAGAACTCTAGTATTTGCCATAATTTGAAATACTGTTTTATATTGTTAATTGACTTATAGTTAGTTTAAATTATATTAAAATTTTTGGTGAATAAGGTTACATAAATGTAAAAGATTACTATGGATTGCAGTAAAACGGGTGAAACAACCATTTTTACCACACTGGTCCATTTTATGTATTAACTATCCTCTACCCTAATGCCAAATTTCATCGAGATCCGTTCAGCCGTTAAGGCTACAAGCTCTAACAAACATCCATCCATTTAAACTTTTGCATTTATAATATTAGTATGATTAAATTGTTTTTGAACTGTGTTTTCAGACAATGGGCCTGTGCTGCAGTTGCTGCTGTGATGACGGGGGCGGTGTGAATGTAGTCCAACAGCCGAATGAGGGCGGCGGCTGGGGCGGAGGCCCGCCCTCCGTCATGGTGGTAGATGACGCACCCGGACCCATGGGCAGATGATAGTACTACTTTTAGAATTAAATTATTCTAATTTATTATTCTTTTGTAATTTTTATTAATATTTTAATTATATTAATAAAAAAATTGTATTACACTTTTTTAAATTTCATTCCAGCGATTTCTTTGATTTTTATATTCAGTTATAATTATTAAAGATTTATTACTATTATAAGAGACTTTTCATTTCCCTTACTTGTGATTAATTACCGTGGTAATGGAAGACATCATTGAAAATCTGTACATCTCGATAACGTCATTGTGAAAATAAAAAAAAATAACAATAAAGTAAATAATAAAGAGAAATTGCAATTATTATAAATCTATGTGATTTTCCAATCTCGATTAATGTAAAAACACTATAACTATTTTTATATAGTTACTGTTTTCAACATGTCACATTCTTTCCGTGAAGATTTACAGCCTTAACGCAATCAAATTAAGTAATAATTGATTCATGTTTGCCTGAGCTTCAGTGGTTTTCAATAATTAGGTGCTTTGTATTTAAAACGATAACATTTTTGACAATTCAATATCTGATGATACTGTATCATATTGATTGATATTCTAGCTGTCTCTATCAAATACTGTTTCAGATAAGTACAGTGTTTTTGAGAATTTTTATTTATACTCATTTGAACCGATATTATTGTATTTTACTAAAGATGGCGCTTTAAACTATGAAAGTTTAAATAATTATGTTTTTTACAGCTGCAGTGAAAATCCACTGTTATAAGTAAAGTAAGAAATAAATGATTACGGAATATAAAATATGTATATTTGATATTATTATTACAAAATAGATCAAAATTTCAATTTTTAATTACTTTAATAACACAAATAAAAAAAAAAACAGAAATATATCTCGTTATTGAATGAAGAAGGTAAATGTAAAAATATGGATCAGTGCATTCAACCAACGACGCTGCAGAGCACTTCGTAATATTTGTAAGAGACTTCGCCGCCGCTGAAGGAAATGTAACAACATCCGTGGCTTGGATGGATCTGAAAGCACACAAATGAAAACTGCAATGTGTATATCTTGAACTTTTGAACCCAACATCGCTTTATGCTTTCAGCACTGATTGTTTGACGTGGACCATGTTTGGCAACCCTTTGCATTCAAATTTTTTATTTTATTGATTTTAATTTTCTTTTGCTTTCTATCTCTTATCGTATCATAGACCAATCGTACCAAGTAAACTTTTCATAAAGGTTTGTTATATGTAGGTAACACGAACTAGTAACTTCAGATAAGAATTCGTATAATAGTTTTGCTATAAATTCTTATTATGTAACTTAAACGTTAAAGCGAAGCTAAGTTCTTTCTACTAATTTAGCTAGTATGTTTCAAAATTATGTAATTAAGACGTTACCTTTCCAGGGGTAAGAGAGCGCATATGCGTTACTCTGCCGACGTACAGCGGTTCTGCCTTGTGCGTGTTGCCAGCTGCGATGGCGCCGGGCGGCACCTGCCCGTTGTTGGCCGGCACCCAGCGCACTGCGTGAGCGGGCGCGCACAGCACCTGAAAAATATAGTTCAGTCTTTGTAGAAGAATTACAAACAAGCTTAGTAGGTTTATTACAGTATTTCAAATCCATTTCTTCAATTTTATCTATCTCCAATCCTTTGCAACCTCTGAAATCGAATTATTATTCGTTACACTATTCTTCACATTATAAATGTGAAAGTTTGGATCGATGGATGTTTGTTAGAGTTTAGCGTTAACGGCTGAATGGATTTCGATGAAATTAGGTATAGATGTAAATGATAGTCAAGAAGAACACATAAGCGACTCCCTTTTGTTTCTTTTATTCAACACGGACGGAGTCGTGG